TAGGCGATATTCAAGTGATGATTTATTTATTTATGATAAATAATAATTTGAAAAAAAAAAAAAAGAGGCTATTAGAAAAAAATAAAATTATAAAATCAAATTTATTTTCTATATTGCTTATTTTTAGATTTACTTGTATAGTTTGCACTTGAGAACGTTGTCATCGAAATTTTCATGTGTTTCGTCGAGTGCAATTTATTTTCAATTTTATTTTTATCAACCTTATTGTATTGCATTACAATAAGGGTGGGTATTAGGATTGAGATAAATTTCGCATGTAGACTTGTTGATGGACAATGCGCGAGAAATGTTTGGAAAAGAGCACCATAACTATTACCAGGGTCAATATCTGTGTCTGCTATGGCTTAAGTTAGCTTAAACCCATTTTCACGTTTTAAGGCATTTAATATTTTTGATAATTTTCAAGAAAAGTAATTTGCTTGAAATTTTAAATATAGGTTGTGTCTGACAAAATCTATAAGGCTCGCGTGAAAATCAGGTTGGCTGGAACTTTCGTAGAAATCATCTTTTCTTTTTTTGATTATTTCTAAAGAGAATAATCAGTAAAAATTTTTAAATGTTAATATTTAGATTTTATTTGTCAAAGAAATTAAATTACAAACAATTTTCAAGAAAATGCGAACCACAAAAGCTGAATGTATTGATTCTCGAAATTGAGACAAAAATTTACACTTTTGGAGGAAAATTAATTAGAAAGCTCAAAAATTTTCGTAATATTTTCGTAATAATCTCTATAGAATGCATTTTTGCCACGATTTAGAACTAGTTAGATCTATTGGAATTTTGGAGTACAATTTAGAAAATGGTCAAATGCAACCGGCTATGTGTTGGCCACATCTGTTTTTATTTTTTTGTTTCTTCAACGATGAAATGAACAACGATTTTTGTTTCTTTTAAATGAGTGTCTCCCCGCTTTTTGTTTTGTTTTTTTTTTGTATTCTGAATTATTCAAAAAGGCGTATTTTTTTGTTCATAAAAAAAATTGCATCCTAAATGTAAAATGCCTTTTATTTTAATTTTATTTTTTAGTATGGTAGATGCACAAAATTCTTTTATTCACAAAAAAAAAATGAAACAATACATATTTGCTCTTGTCGCAAATGGAAAATATTTTGAAAATTTCCATTTTCCTTTTTTGTTTTGTTATTGTTTTAGAATCAAAATGCAGTGGATTTCATTTCGTGACCGGAAATGTTGGGGACTATTTTTTATTTGCATATATAATTTCATGTACATATAACATATACACATACATACATATAATATATACACATTTCAATATATATGTAATTAAATTTGGCTATTGGTAATTTTTTTTTCTTTAATTTTTTATGCAGCAACGTGTGCCTGGACCAATTTACAAATTAAAATTTTTAATTTTTATTTGCGCATTTCAGTTTTTTTTTATTATTTTTTGCATTGTCTTATGAGCTATGAATAATTTAAAATATTAAAAATAAAGTGCTATCAAGCTTAGTGAATTAATTTATAAAAATTTAATTAAAAAACTTGATTATTTGACCTAATTCTTTTTTTTTTTTAGTGGAAAAATATTGAAATCAATTCATTCATGATTTAATAAGTGCACATGTACTTACATAGGATTTATTAAATTTCTAATAAAATGAATCATTTCGCATCTAATCTATGAATATAAGAATACTCCTAATTAATATCCTTCTTTTTTTGAACGGTTAATCAAACTTATATATGAATATACAGTTTAAATTGTTAATAAAAAAAATTATTGCTGACACAGTGTCGTATGTTGTTCTTGGACAAAATCGATTCTGTTTTGATTTTATATTGAAATGAAGATTGAACCATTGGAAAACTGATGGATTCCGTGAAATCACTGTAGAAAAAACATTGCCAGAAAAATAATTGTATATATATTTGATATTATTTTAATAAATTCAGTACTTCTTATTATATGACCTAAAAAAAACTAAAGCCCGTTGATATGGTTGAATGGTTTATATGACCGTACGTGATTTTTATACAAATGTTATTTTATAGCGTGTTTGCTACATCTTATAATAAATTAAATTTTTTTATTGCTCACAGTTCAAAACATAATATGTAATAAACAAACATTTTGGATCTTATTGATGTTAAAAAATTTCTTAAGTTCTTCATTCTCAAAGCTGATAAGTTACTGAAATCAGCTAAATTTTCCAATTCAACGCTGTTCTTAAAGCTTTAACAGTTTCTTTTGCAGTTAATAGAAGCCCAGTATTTTCATTAAATATGAGTTCTAAATTCTCGTTCAACGTTATAATTACTCGTTTTTTCATAATTGCTCGTATTCCAAATTTAAATATCGTTAGCGCAAAACAATAAAAATTAAGGATAAATTAAAGTTTAGAACTAAAAATTAGTATATTTTCTAACCCTCAAATAGAAATTAAATGAAATTATGTTAAGCAGGGCGTGGGAGTGCATTTTTGAGATTAAAATTTGAAATTCTTAACTGAAATATCAGTACTGATGTTTATTATTTTACTATTTCAAATGTAATTCACAATAGAGAACATAGGTGAAAGTACAAAATGTGAATTATGGAAAATTTTAGAGCAAAATTTCTAAAACCTAATTAAATAAAGTAAAACGTAAAAATTGTTAAATTTTTTAGAATTAAGAAGGAAACCTTCAAAAAAATGTTAGGTATAAGCCGATTATGCACATAAACCAGTTTATACGAATAGAATAAATTGTGTAAATAGATGGGTGTATAAATGTTTCGTGAATTATAATTTTCTTTAGAAGATCTATAATAAAACTTTTTTTTTATTATATTTTCACTACATTCTACCATACATGTAATCGAATTTATGGTGAAAAATAAATATAAATTTCATCTTCTTTTTTTTTTTTGATTTTTGTGTTTTTGGAAAATTTTCAAATTTTAAGGCGTATTATGTTTTTATTGCATATACATGTATATTTGCCATGTAATACCTATGTAGACAGTGTTTGTATATAAAAGAAACATGCTTAGATTTGTTTTGAGTTCATTTTCCGCATTTAAAATTTGAAAAATAAAAAATAAACTTTTCATTTTCATTTTTCTTTTGTTGTTCAGCAAGCGATTTGATGATGAGATCTTTGGTAAAATTAAATATAACAAAGAAAATTCTATAAAGGTGATGATGGCACTATTATGGCAGCCTAGCGTATACCCCTTCTAAGATAATTTTTTATTTTTTTCTCAATTTTTTTTTATCTATTTTTGCAAAAATCACTAATTTCATATTTTGAATTATATTTAAAATGTTCAATATTATTTTAATGGATAAAAAATTTTTTTTTTCATAATGGTTGCCTGATGGTCTAGTTTAGTTTCCAAAAAAAATTTTTTTATTTATCCAATAAAATTTCTACAATAATAAATATTTATAAATAAGATGATGATAATTTTTTTTTTGAGTGTTATTCTTTTGGGGTGAATCTAATTTTCATTTCCAGCTCTTTATGAAGAAATGTTTGAATCATATAGTAGATTTTTTGGAACTTACATGACTTATGAGTATATTTCTGTGAATAATTTTGTACTCTGAGTGTATCATATTGGTAAATATGTACAATTACATACAAACTTATTGTACAATTTATTTGCGGAGAGATCAAAGTATGAGAACAATATTGTATTTCTGGTTTACAGATGCGTTGGTGGAAAATTTTTGCTTGGGTGGTAAAATTTTTCCTAATTTTTGTTTTTGTTTTGTTTTTAAATTATAAGAAAAATTATATGTATTTCTATTTTACTTAAGGGGTTTTCGTTTTTCTTTTTTGATAGGATTTAAACTTAAAGAAACTTTAATTAAAATTTTTGGAGTACATATTTTATTTTTAATTAAAATTTTATTGTTTTAGAAATCTATTAAGAAATAAAATTTTTTAATTTTAAATTTTTTCCCACTATATTAAAGGTTAATGACTTTTTTTTAGACTCAAAAATTGGAAATTAGTCAGAAAATTTTCTTGGAATCCATTTCTTTTTTCTTCTTTTTGGTTTTGAAATGTCAAATGCAAGTTCGTTTTAATAGTTTTATGTATCCATAACTCTTGCATTTGTACAGATGTATATGTATGTATGTCCAATTTCTCTTAACAACAAAGTTTGCTTGATATAGATTTCTGTGGCGATCAAGTAAAACAACCTAAAGCTGAATTGTTTGATTCGAGTAAAGAAAAGTTTAGAGATTTAAAGTGATTTTTGAAAAATTTATAAATATTCTAATAAAACAAAACTCGTGAAATTATAATTGTATGGTTTTTTTACAATAGGTACATTTCTTTCAAATGTGATCTGGTTGGAAAGACTTAATTAACTGTTTTAACTTTTATTGTTTTAGAGAACCCATATTATTAACAATATACTCGAGTTATTTTCCCATATTCAAAGAAACCCATATTTTATTTGTAAACTAATATTAACTATAATAAGTATTAATGGAGCGTAAAAATTCTATTAATATGATTATACACATGTATATTTGACCATCGATGTGAAAATGTTTTGACATAAAATACACAACACACCTTAAGCATTTCACTGAGAATATTTAAGTATATAAATTATAATGGGCTCTTATATCCATATAACCATAAATTTCTTAATTAGTATTCAATAAAGATTTGTTAACTTGTCACTGAAATCTATTCAAATATATGAATGTAATATAAATAGTATAAATAATAAAATATTATTTCAACAAAATAATAACCGTACACATAGGTACTAAGTATAATTGCAGTACCATTCTAGTTTATTAATTAATTTTTGTGTTAAATTCCATCTATAATGTTAATTATAAAATTATACTTACATATTATAATAAATTTAAATTAAATATTATTACATTCTAATTTAAGAAAATTACATATTAAATTTTAAAGTATATTATTAAATATGAAGTATAATTATGTATTAAAATAATAATAGATTTTATGAATATTCTTTATTATTTTTACAGACCTACCAATGGTCCCATCATCAGTAATAGTTGCATCAGTCAATACAAAACAACAAACAACAGCAGCAACAACAACAACACAAACAACTGAAATGGGTAGATATAGTAGCGAAGAAGTATCTGGTAATGAATCAACTGAAGTACCAAGAATGACAGAAATAGAACGTCAAGCTGAAGCTAATCGTCATAAAGAAGAAATGAAAAAGAAAAGACGTAAGAAGAAGAGAACCAGTTCATCATTACATTCTTCTACATTTCAAGGTTAGTTTAAATTTTTTATTTTTTTTTCTATTTAGAGAAAAAATTTATTTTTACAGGTATTAGTTTACATGTATTTTATTTATATTTCACATATGCATACGCACAAAAATTTTTCTAAAATTGTGTTCCTTTTATTTTTCTCGCCTTTGTTTTTCAATTCGAATTTGTATGTTCGTCTTATATTCTTAATTATTTCGTATTTTGTAAATTTTACTAAAAAATATTTACATAAAAAATTAAATATTTAATTTAAATTTTAGAGGCGAATTCTAATTTCTAAAACTATTGTTAGTTTATCTTTATTAAAGCATGTCTTAAACGTGTCCATGGCTGAATTGGATAAACTTATTTTACTTTGCAGAGAGTAATTTTCCATGATCTTTAATTTCTAATTAATTATTCTAAATAATTAAAATTTACGTCTGTTATTAATTGATTTTTCAAAGATGTACAAAAATTTCAATGTAATATTTTAAAAAATTCATTACACACTCTTTGTACATATTGTGAAATGATGTAACATCCCTGAACTATTAACAAGAGTACAAAAATACATACGAACATACAATTTTAATGAATTTGAACTTGAGAGAAATTTTTAATTTTCTTCTAGTCTTTTCGTTTCTAGTTTTTTTCTTCTAGATACATAAAAGCAGAAAACAACTTTCTTGTTGTAATTTTATTGTAATCAACCTAACAATAAGTTATTCTTATGTTATTTTCGATTCTTGTAACACAACATTAAATTATTATGTAAAAATATTATGTATTCTTAATATGTGTATGTATGTAGATATATACATATGTGTATATGTAATATTTAAAAAAAATCTGTTAGCTATAACTATATGCAAATTAGAACTGCTTAAAAAGTCACGTACGCTTCATTAAAATAAAAGAAAATGTATACATATGTGCTTCTGAAACTGAATTAATAAAATTCGATTTCCACTCATAACCATCAATTATAAAATATGATTAGTTTTCATTGTTTTAATTATCGTCAAATATTTTACAATATATAAATTATTACTAGCTTCGACTTAATATAGAAAACTGCTTCGGTATATTTCACCTATACTCGTAAGAGCTTATCGAAATTTAATAAATTATTTTCCGTAACAACAACCCTTCTTAATTTGTATACAATAAAAATTTTACAGGTAACACTACTTGTCAAATTAAAATGTCGAAAAACAACCTTTTATAAATTTTTATATTAATTTATTGAATGACTCAATTTTGGCCAATGTAATGTTGAAATTTAGTTTATTTGGAATAAAGTATTAAAAAGGTTATTTGGAAAATTGAATTTCGATAACTGAAGAAAAAATAATAATTTCTTTTTAGAAAAGATGAAATAAGTTTGAATTTCATAACGCATTTTATTTTAAATCGCAGAATGCGTTTGAAATGGGGTGTAAATAATTTGGTCTAGAACTAAAAAGAAATTATTTATATATAAATTTCATTAAAACCTTTAATAAAAATTGTGAGAATTAAAATTCAAAAATAGAAACAGTATAATCAATATTCGACTTACATGTAGAAATTCGGATTAAACCAATGATTCATAAAGTAGAACCCTTTCCCTAGGACACGTGAAAACACATTTTTCAAACAAATTTTAAATTATTCTGATTAATTACCATGTATTAAAATTTTAAATTCCAAAACTTATTGCTTATTTTTAGGACTTAAGACAAAAATTAAAAAAAAAATTTATCGAATTTTTTGGAGTGATTTAGATATCCTATAGAAAGCAGTGTTTAATATATTTTTGTAATCTTATTTTCGTAAATTGAATTTTGTTTTCTTTTGTAATTTTGACTTTTTTTTATTGCTTGTTTTCTTGTTTTCGCCTTATTTTCATTTATTTTATTATTTTTTTTTTTGTTCTCTGTCTACACACGTTTAGATAAAAAGAGAAAGAAAAAATTTAAGTTTCATCATAGCATTGAAAATGACGTTCCAAATGACGTTTAGTAAACAAATTTTTCCCTTTTTTTATTTCAGTTTTTATTTGGTTTATTTGTTTTAAGGCCGTCGTAACTTCTTAAAAAAAAAGTTAAATGGAGAACTTGAAGATAATGAAAAAAAAAGCCATAATGGGAAAAAAGAAAAATATTTTTTTATATGAGCATACATCTATGTACATAATCATGTATCTCTATCCTGCTTTTTCATATTTGTATGTACATATTTAACAAATTAATGAGGTATCCAAAAAAAAAAAGGAAAAAAAAATGTAATATAAAAAGTGAGAAGATTTTGTTTTTTCTTTTTTGGGATCATTGACTTATGATGAATGACTTGTGCGTTCATAATTCTCTTTTACTTTCTTCTTTTGGGGATTGTAAGAATTAAGAAAATGTTATTTAATAACAAATTATACTTATAAAGAAGTCATATGATTACATACGCATACGAATGTCGCTCTATAAACGTATATTTATATACATACTTATGGACATACATACATAATATGTTCAGATGTTTATTCCACTTAAATTTATATTCAAAGATGTAGTATAGCCGTATATGCATGAATACATTCATAATATTAATCTGTTTATAAATTTTCTAGGTTACATTATTCATGCATGTGTGCCTGCCTGGGTTTTTTTTTGTTTTTCCAAATATCATTTGAAATATAGAAAAAAAAAATAAATACAATTTTGTTTCCTAAAATGATAAAGCCCGTAACTAAAGAAATGCGATACGATTTTTTCCAGAAAACATTAAAAACTATTAAGTACAATAGAGAATATTACAAAAAAAAAAAAAAAAACTGCTACTCAAAACAAAAATACTATAGTGGCTGAAAAAAAATATAGAGAAATTAAGCATAATATAAAACTGGTTAGCTCTTCTAAACTCAAATGATTTAAACCTTTCTTTTTTTTCCACGAAATCTCAATTTTCCTACAAAAATTCATTTAAGAACGCTATCTTTAGATTTCATTAGATTTTTACAATCTTTAAAGATTTCATTATATTTTTTACGAACATTTGCTAAACAGAAACACCTAAAATAAATATTTATATTTACAGTGAAGAGAAGATTGAGCAATAGTAAAAATAAAGCGTTGAACTTTGAATACATGCATAAAAATTATTATTTAATTCAAAACATCGAACTAAGGCAAAGTTTAGACATCAAACTCTTTTCATAGATTTGATTTGAGAAGAATTGGTACCGAAATATGATACTGAAATCATATGAAAATATGATACCGAAAAAGCAGTGACAATATATTAGATTTTTTTTTCTAACCCTTTCGAGCATGCATGTCATTTTTTAAAACTGAATTATCAAAATTTATTGATACTAAATTAATTTCGACAGATTCTCTTCACTCTCAATTTGATTCGGTTTGCTTTGGCTACTAAATTTTTTTTTTGCTTTAAGTAGCCGAAATTTTAGTAGAGCGTTGTCCTGGCCGGTCCATTTTGAAGAAAAATAAATGTGGCTCGTGTATTTATATTGAAATGACCTTATATTATGATTTGTTTACGATTGAATAGCATCGTAATTCTTCGTTTAGTACCAATATGTTCACCTTAAAATATAAATCAAAAAAAAATTTTATGTGAGAAGTGCTTTTTTTTTTTCTTTATAAAAATTTCAAAATATTTTTAAAAAGTTTACACAATCAAAATAATATTGATTTTATTTTTTTAAGTATGTATGCTTTCTATATGCTTATAACAAATGTTTGTGCATACATGAGAATGTTCTTGAGCTTGAAGGCTATTGGAATTGTTAATTATTTTTATACATATTTAAAATTTAAATACATATAACAAAAAAAAAGCTATATATTTTTTTAAGATAAACATAGAATTTATGATTAGAATAATATTTACACCACAAGATTTTTTTCAAAAAAAAAATGTAGGTATTTATATGTATTTTAAACTATAATGGCTTGATTTGTATTCAACGTGTTGTAAAAACAAAACGTATTATTTAGCTATTTAATTTATTACCCAAAATAATTTAAAAGCCATAAACAACAAAATGTACATAAAAAATTCTCGAAATTTTCAAAATTATTGAAAGTTTTTTAAAATTAAATAAAAATTAACCTCTTATAGAGTAAATGTCCAAACACATACTAAGTAGATATTTATAGTCTTTCTCTCGATTATAAATTTCCCAAAAGTTTTTAGCTACAAAACTTTTAGATTTGAAAAACTTTTGAATTTTAAATGAAAAGAGCTCTGCTACACTTTATTTCCTCAATCCTAAAAAATTGAATTGAAAATCGAACGATTTTTCATAACGTATTTCTTCTAATTAAACCCTTTTAATTTATTTTTGTTTCAATTTTTATTAAATTTTTTTAGAAAGTAAGCATACAGAAGAAGAAGCTAATTATACAAAATTACAGGTTACGTTGCTCTTAAATTCAAAAGAAAAATGTTAAATTTTTCAGAATCAAACGTAAATTAGAGATCGTAACGGGTTAAAAATCAACATTGAATCTAATTTGTTTTCTAAATATCGTGAATAAACTTTTTTTTGAAGAAATTTCAATATTTTTAAAATGTTTGAAATTTTGAAAATCGTACGTGCAAACTAACACATTTAGCTTTAGAATAACATTGTTGCAATAGAAATTGCATTTACCAAAATACAAATCTAACGTCATCTGATTTATTCAGCAATACAATTTAAATTGCTGAATAAGGTAAATAATAGACACCATTTTGGTAGATTCGTAAACTTTATTGTAAATTGTTTAAAAAATTCACTTGTAATAATTCAGGGAACTAAAAGTATTTTTTAAAAAATTTAATGTCAAAATTTTATTCACTAACAATTAATTTTTTTTTTGTAAATTTATTATTTTCAGAGCTTTATAAATTAACTGGTGAAATTCTTGGTGAAGGAGCTTATGCTTCAGTTCAAACCTGTGTTAATATATATACAGATTTAGAATATGCTGTAAAAGTGATTGATAAAATTCCTGGTCATGCTCGTGCTCGTGTATTTCGTGAAGTTGAAACATTTCATCATTGCCAAGGTCATCCTGGTATTCTACAATTAATAGAATTCTTTGAGGATGATGAAAAATTTTATTTAGTATTTGAAAAGGTAAGTTTAAAAAAAAAGTTTTTTTTAACTAATTAATTTGAAATAGTGAAAATATTTGATTGAAAATAAAATCAATTTCTTTTTTATATTATTGAAATAGATAAATGGTGGTCCACTATTGGCTAGAATTCAAGAACATGTTTGCTTTTCAGAACATGAAGCAGCTCAAATAATTAAAGAAATTGCTTCTGGTTTAAATTTTTTACATAAGAAGGGTATTGCACATCGTGATTTAAAACCTGAAAACATATTATGTGTTGATCCAGAAAAATTATGTCCAATAAAAATTTGTGATTTTGATCTTGGATCCGGTATTAAATTTAATACAGATGTTGCATCACCAGCTGCTACACCACAATTATTGACTCCGGTAAGTCTATGTTTATTTTGATTTTTTCTTTGTACGTTTAAAAATTAAAACTATTTTTAATTCATTTTATCATTTAATTGAAAATTGAATCGTTAATTAAAACAGAAAAAGTAAACAACAAAAAAATTTACTTAATTGAGGTTATAAATATCTATAAGTGTTAAACATTTAAAAATGAGGGTTCGATATTTTATCTTATCTATATATAAAAAGCAAGTTGAAAATGTTGAAAAACAAATAAAAATCTATCAATTGATAAAATTATGATAAGAAAAACTTAACTTCCGATTAAAATTTGTAACTACTTTGTTTTATTTAGGTTTTAATAATGTAAAGGTTTCTAACCCTGAGTTAATTGTGTATATGTATTAGGTACATACTATGCAGTTATATAATCGTATATTACGGCTATTGTAGGCACATTATTTTAATTTTTAATTTAATTAATACTTTTTCAAAATCGAAAATTTTTATTTTTAATAATTCAGATTTTGCTTTTTTAGCCAAACATTAAAATTTACCATTTGTTACATAGTAAAATAAATATTAAAAGTGTCATTTGGTGAGAAATGCTGCAGAAATTTTTCGAATTGAATAGAAAATTCTTTAAAAAATTTAAAATAAATTATACTAATTGCTAAACAAATTTCAGTTAGACTATTTATTTTATTTATTTCTCATTTTAATCGAAAAAATTAATTTATAAGCCAAAAATATTAGCAAATCTGCAAAACTTTTAATGTAAAATTTTTACTTTATCTTTCATTGCATGCAATGTTGCATTTATATTTAAAATTGCGTTAATTTATTAAGGAAGAATTAATCTTACAGTCAGTTGTATTATATAATGTTCTGTCTATATTAGTAGCAATGAAAATACAATAAACATATTTTCATAAATCTTGTAAAACAAGCTAATATCAGTAGAATTATTTCCCAGATATTTGTGTTTCATTGTATTTAAAATCATGGCAATAAAATATTTAAAAAAGAAAATGCTGCTTAATTTAAGGATTAGAAATGTTAAAAAAATGAATTATCAAATTTGGGTTCTTCTTAGTAAAAATATTCACTAATAAAAATTCAGCAAGGTTTTAAAATAATAAAAAGAAAATATTCAAAACGTTTTTAACTCTGGTTTCTCGAACAGAAAAATTTGAAAAGTTATTAAGTAATTTTTCTAAAATTAACACTTAAAATTAAAATGAACTTTTGAAAAAAATAATTTTCTAGGAATTTTTCTTTCTTAGTAAAAGTTTTCATTTTTATTAACAATATTTTCACAATCGAAATTAAAATGAATCACAATTATTTTTATTTAATTGTCACATTTTCAAAAACGCATAAATACATACATACATACTTACATATGCACATAGTATAATGTAAATTTTCATATGAAAAAGGAAAAACTATTTCGTAACAATGAGATTTCGTAAGAAATAAAACAAAAGTTTTGATTTTTTTTAATAGTTTAATAGTTCTGATAGTTAAACGATTCACAATTTTTTAATTCTAAGAAAAAGTAATTCTTCTCATTCCTTTGTACTTACTTATTTACTAGAAAAGTTCATAATAAGCTATAATTATATTTACATAATATATTAAATAATTCTTTAAAAATAAAATTAGTATATTTGGTGGGTACCCCTACATGCTTCTGCATAAATTTATTAGAATATAGGAATAGGCGCATACATGCATATATCTACATATATCTACAAATGTACGTGTTTGAATTGACTTTTATTTGTTAAAAGTTCAGCAACTTTTTTCATGCAAAACACAAAAAATGAACAGAATTGACGGAAATTGCACAAAAAAAAAAAATAAAAATAAAAAAATATAAATTTTTTTCTGCTTTCGATTTTGCTCTTATTGAATAGAAAATATGCTAATTTTTAACATTCTTTGTAAGTTTTCTATTGCTCGTTATTTCAATTACCACGCAATATATATATATATATATATATAAATATATTATATTGAAATAGAAAATTATCGACGGATCCATTTCTTGCCAAAACAAAAAAAATAAATAAATAAAATTAAAGGGAAATGCAGTTTGGGTTTTGCATAAAATGCAATTTACGTAGTTGCATTCTTATTTGTATATTTTACGTTACCAATTTTATAACAATGTCGCTTGGAAAAACATATGTATATATAGATAAGCTCTATATACATATGCTTGTATTTTGGCTTAACCCTAATTATTTTACTATGAAATTTTGACTATAGTTCAAGTGTAAATTAAAATTCTTTGCAAATAATTACAATTGCATCATTTATTTAAGAGTTTTAAGAAATTTAACAAAGAAAAATTCTTAATATTTTGATTTAATTACGTGGTCTATTATTAATTTATGATATATGTATAAGTTTGTTTGTAAAGAAAAATTCTAATTAATTAATTAAAAATTTGCAAAAAAACATAAGTCCGCTTAAACGAATCAAGAATGGATTTTCCCTTCGAAAAATAGTAAGAGATATTACACAGTTTTTTTCACCGACAGATATTACCTTAAATCTTAAGGGATACTATAATGTCTCTTTATTTCACATACGAGTACTTTCATATTACTAAATTTAAATAAATAACTTTTATTTCAATATAATATTATGTATTTATTTTTGAATACAGTAAAATATTTTTAAAAATTTCTAAAGGTATAAATCCAAAATTTAAAGTAACCGAACATTAATTCGAACGTGACTTCTTAAATTGAGCACTAATTCGAAGTTCGTTTAAGTTTCCGTGCATAGAACTAAGGGTTAATTAAAATTTTATATGTATTACATTTAAGTTTCAGAATTTACTTTTGCTTGTCTGCGAATTTTATACAAACAGCAAAATCTGAAAGTACTAAGCACTTTTTTAAGGACGGAAACTAATAAGCACTTTTTTTCAAAAATTTTTTGGAAAAGTGCTTAAAAACCAAGTCTAACGTCAAGTCTTTGCAAAAACATTTCGTTTTAGTAGCTAAAATATAAGAAAACTATCAAATTATTTTCAATCTAGCAACGCCAAAAAAAAAATTTTCATTATTCCTTTGATATAGTGTCCTTTGCCATATCGTTTCTGACAAATAGTAAACATTATAGTTATATTTATATTGTCAGAGTTTACGTTTATTATATACCTAGAGAGTTCTAAAAACACCCTGTTCTATTAATTGTAAACAAAAGAGAAATAAAATATGAATCATTAAAATAAATTTTATGAAATGAAATTAGAAATATAAAAAAAAAATATCAATACACATACATACATACACGCTGTATATGTATATAAATAATGAAAAATATTCTTTTTTTATTTATCGAAAGCCGAGTGCTCCCGTCGATTCTTAAAAGTTCCGTGTGACAAGAGTGATGCGCAATTTTTTTTTCTAATATTTTTTTTTTATTTTCAATTTTCTTTAAAAATAAATTTGTAATATATTTTTATTTTATAAAATTATATTTCTAAATACATACATACTTATACCAAAATATAATATTATTTTTATATATAGATGAAATTCTAAATTTAAATAATTTATAAATTGTAAAATGTTCAAATAAGAGAGTTGGCGCGTGGAGGGGGTTATAATATTTTTTTTTTCTTAAAAATTAAAATTTATTATAGAAGAAAAAAACGAAAAATTTTGCGTATAAAGTTTAAGAGCCAAAAAAAATGTTTACACAATAATTAGGCCAAACATTTTGAATGCAAACATTTAAAAAAAAATTGTTTATATAATATAATAAAAATGGTATATGCGGTATATACAACAAAATAATATATGAAATCTCCATATGTAGATATGTATGTATAGATATGCATTTATTACAAATTTTTATTTAGATTATGACAAGTTTAAAATATTTTTTTTTAAATAATTCTTTTATTAGATGGATCACTAGAATTAAGATAGAGACATAGAGGAAACCAAGGGTATTTGAAAAAAATCAAAAGTATTTTTAGTTGTTGACTTTATATGCACTATATACATATATATGTGTATGCATATATGCAGGTACAATCTATTATTATGTTCTCTGGTGACGTACAAGTTTTTTATTATTAGAAAGTCCTTAGGAAATTTCCATACTATATTTAAGAATTACATGTTATAATAAAAAAAAATCAAATTATGAAATGAATGCTTAATATTGCGAAATTTAGTTTATAGATATATATGTATGTATGTATGTATAGTAGAGAATCATTTAAAAAGAGTCATGTAGGTGCTCTGTATAATTAATTATATATGTATACTTGGTGGTTATGTACTATAACTATATAGAATAAGGGCAACCTACATATAAAATTAAGTTGTTTTTCTACAAAGACTTACAAAATTTTGATGTTGTGTATTAAAAAAAATTTTTAAAAGGTTATTCCATTCATTTTCTCTTTACGATTTAATTTCAATAATAAATGTGTACTTAGGTTTATAAGTATGTAAGAAATTGAATATATGTCGCATGTTGAATATATTTATATTTTTATATTAAAAATTTTGCCACTTTATTCAAAACCTTACTGTAAACGTGTAATTATAAATTTTGAATTGTATTAAGTTTTGGGCTTCGAAAAAGACTTTGATTTTCATTAATTGTAGTGCCTTAACCAATAAGTTAAAAAGATGCGTATTCAAAAAACTTAATTTTTGTGCGTTCAAAAATTCTTTTCCGTAAATTCGACGACTGACGATATTATTAACTTTAATGTTTCACGTGCTCTGATAAATTATGAATTTATTAAATTTAGGGACTTTTATGAATTTCATTTGACATTATTTGAAATAAATTCGAAAAATTGAAACAAAAAGTAAAAAAGAGTTGAAATTCTGTAAACACTCATGTATTCCTACGTAAGTTTACGATAATATACAAACTTTCAATTAATTTGAAGTTCTTCCCATAATTTTGTGCTTAAAACTATGTAAACACATACATATTAATTATGTTGCAAAGTTATCAAAAAGATTTTTTGGGAAATCCACTGATTC